TAGCTGAGAAGATGATGTTTTCAGTCAGTCCACAGTCACATGTGTTTGTGAAACACAACAGTTTATGCCAGTTTGTTTTAATCTAGAAAGCGAACACTCGGTACAGAAAAGCACGATTATCTTTTCACATCCTTTAAATTTGCAGCAGTGGCCCTAGGCTCTTCTTACATGGTTGGTTATCTTCAACAAATGTAAACATCTTGGGGTAAAGTCACACGTACAGTAGAATGCACATTTCCTGGAATACAATCTTTTCTCTCCAGGAGTATATTCCTTGAAAGATTGAGCCTGACAAATGAGGCTTGCAAATCATGTTTGGACCTACTGACCAAAAATAGAAGAAAAGCAAGTTATTTTCCACAAGAATATTTCATGCTGGGATAAACAGATGCCTCTTATCCTTTAAGAGATCTGTGCTTCTAATTAGGTGCTAACTGTATGTTCTCATGTGGCTTCCGAGCTTTCCATTCTTTCTCTTCTAGTTTCCATCTGGAGATCCTTTGAAAGAGTCCTTTTGTTCTTGTCTGAAGTGTTTCTGGAGTCATCATGAAGATGTTCTGCATAATCCTATATTTCATGGTGTATGGTGAGCTTCCTAATTTACATAATGGTAGAGGAAATGTACCGTAAATCATTTTTTTAATGGAAAGCCTTCTTTTAGGCCTTGCTGAAGGTTCCCTCTTAGGCAGCCACATGATAGCTAATTATCGCGCAATTAGCACTCTTAACTTCAGCAGAGCTTCCCTCCAAATAGATACAGCTTGCAAGCATGGTATTAGGGAACTTTAGGATAGGAATTTCTCTGGTGGAAGCCCATTGACAAAAATGAAAGAGGTAGAATATGAGCCAGCAGGGTGATGTGGCTGCCCAAAAGGCAAATGTTATTTTAGGTTGCATGAACAGAAGTCTGGACTTCAAATCCCATGAAGTATTATTCGTCCTCCTCTATTCACCACAGGTTAGGCCTCAAGCACTGTGACCAGTTCTGGACACCACACTTTAAAAAGGATGCCGACAAACTGGAACAAGTTCTGAGGGAGGCAGCCAGGATGATCAGGGGACAGGAAGCCAAAACTTATGAGAAAAGACAGAAAGAACTGGACATACTGAGAAAAGAAGATGGAGGGGAGTCCCAATAGCATTTTTCAAATACTTGAAATACAGATTGAGAAAAGAAGATGGAGGGGAGTCTAGATAGCATTTTTCAAATACTTGAAATACAGAGGAGAGGCAGCATCTGTTTTTTTCCCCTCCCAGAAAAAAAAAACAGATACGTAATACTAACCTGAAAGGGACAGGAAGCCAGATTTTGGTTTGTTTTTTTTCCCTCCCAGAAAAAACCAGATACGTAATACTAGCCTGAAAGGGACAGGAAGCCAGATTTTGGTTGAATATTGGGAAAAACATTCTAATTGTTAGAGCAGTACGACAATGGAATCAATTACCTTGGGAGGTGATAAATGCTCCATATCGGGAGGCATTGAAGAGCAAATGAGACAACTCTCTGTCAGATCTGCTTCAATTCGGATTATTTCAGTGAACTGGGGTGGTGGTGTTTGGACTCGATGGCCTTAACAGGCCCCTCCCAACTCCAGTATTCTATGATTTTATGACCTTCCAACCCAGAATTAGGTACACTCTCCCCAAATAATGATTCTCCACAATTCTTTGGGGGAAGCCAAAATAAAACCAAGAAAGAGTAGAGAAAGTCAGAATGATTTAAAAACAAAGAAAGTTTTGTTGAGCTATGTCTGTGGTTCACACAGACAGGGAATGCCTTGTCAAGTTGAACTACAATGCCCTTGATCCCCAGAAAGCAGGTTATAGTGGTTCCTCTGGAGTGTCCTCTCCTCAGTGGTCCCCAACTTTTTTGACACCAGGGACCAGTTGAGTTGAAGACCATTCTCCCCAGGGGTTGGGGACCCCTCCTCTATCCGATCTGTGAACAAGAGATAAGGCAGAGTTGTTCAGCGGTAGGTCAAACGTTTTATGCCTGTACAGGTCCAGTGCCTTGCATTGGGGAGGAAAGATTTGGTAGCATGGGAAGGAAGGACACCTCGATCTAGGGCTCTGGGAAACTGCTGTCAAATCAAAGCAAATGATTTTTTAAAAATGCAGACAGATCAACAGTTAAGGCAGCTTCTTCTGTTCTTATTGCGCACTCCAGAGCTTGCAACACTTGGGAAATATTGTGGACTAGAACCTTGACAATCTAGGATTTGTGATTTTAAAAAAAACTGGTCCAAGGTCTCATGCCTGGAAAACTTGGTAATGATGGACCTCTGAGGCTCCTTTCCAATCTCCTAAAATACGAAGGAACCCCGAAACTTGTATTAGGTGTATTATTGCAACCCCCAGGTGTTGTTCTAGCTGGAGGTTCCTTTTAGTGCTGTTTTCTGCTCCAACAGTGAATACCGACCTCAGCTGGCCTGCTGCTGGCCTGGCCTTGGCCAGTGCAGACCCCCAGGAGGAGTTGAAGAGCGGCCTACACCCTGAGGAAGGCCAGGTGCCTCCAGAGATGCTGCAGGAGCTGCTTTGGTTGTTTCGAGAAGAGGACCGTAAGTTCTTGATTGATTGATTGAGTGATTGATTGATTGATTGATTGATGATTGATTGATTGATTGATTGATTGATTGATTGATTGATTGGATTTCTATCCCGCCCATCTAGACCAAAAATCTACTCTGGGCGGTTTACAAATTTAAAAACAATAAAACAACAAAACCCACACATATATTATAGAACCAAGGTGGCAAAAGTATAAGAAATTAAGATATGGCAGGAGGGAAAGCTTGCCCAAATAGCCAGGTTTTAAATTTATTCTTGAAAACACCCAGAGAGGGAGCCAGGCGGATCCTGTCGTTTTGCACGCTGTCCAGTTGAAACCAAATTATAGCAACCCTGACGGGGCTTTAGTGAGATATTTAAGGAGTGGTTTTACTGGGTCCATTCCCCCAACAGGTTTTCATGGGGGAATCAAACCTGTTTTCCAGAGCCCTACTCTGTCTGTCCACTACACCACCGTGGAGACCCTTATCTGTCCTGACGTTTGGAAAAAAAAATGGTAGAAGACCATGGACTGACACAGAAGGAGAGGTTAATTTGAGAAATGACTAGCAGTGTTATTAGGGAAGAAAACACATTTAGATCATCGCAATGCAATCGCATTAGCGATCACAAAAAATGCGTCGCTATGCGGATTCGTTGTTAAACGGCGCACTCGTTATGTGAGGCACCACTGTATAAGAAATTAAGATACGGCAGGAGGGAAAGCCTGCCCAAATAGCCAGGTTTTAAGTTTATTCTTGAAAACACCCAGAGAGGGAGCCAGGCGGATCCTGTCGTTTTGCATGCCGTCCACTTGAAACCGAATTATAGCAACCCTGACGGGGCTTTAGTGAGATATTTAAGGAGTGGTTTTACTGGGTCCATTCCCCCAACGGGTTTTCATGGCCAAGCAGGGGGAATCAAACCTGTTTTCCAGAGCCCTACTCTGTCTGTCCACTACACCACCGTGGAGACCCTTATCTGTCCTGACGTTTGGAAAAAAAAATGGTAGAAGACCATGGACTGACACAGAAGGAGAGGTTAATTTGAGAAATGACTAGCAGTGTTATTAGGGAAGAAAACATAAACCTTGGTTAAATGCTTGTTTTCACGCAGACTGTGCCAGAGATGTCATTCCCAAAGCTTCTGTGCCAAACAAACAACTACCTAACAGGTCCCTCTTTGAAAGGGGGAAGCAAGCAGGGCGGGCAGGCTCTTGAAAGGTTCGCCCATCTCGTGACTTCCTCTTCTCTTTCTCCCTCCTCCTAGCATCGACGTGGAATTACTCCATGCTGGGCCTTTCGTGCCTGGTGCTGGTGGTGGGATTCTTCCTCCTGGGAGCAAATGTCAAGGCAAACAGGTATGGATCAGACCAGACTTTGGGGCTCGGGTAGAGAGAGGCTTTGCATTTGAAGGCTGCTTCACCAGATACTCAAACACACCAGATAGGTGGATGATGCAGAAGCCCCACTGTAATCCTCCCATCACTATGGGTCTACACTGTTGGAGTTGTTCCAAGCTTGCATGCTCCCTGTGATTTGAGGGATTGGGAAAGACATTTATGGGCTGGATGAACTGTCAGTCTATCCAGCACTAATTGTTCGTTCCCACCTCTGATTTCAGAGAGCCTCACCTCTCTGCTGAATGTTCCTTAAATCGGTTGGAGTCAATCGGTGTGTTGTTAGTTAGTTTGCTGTTGATCTGTTCATGACTGTAAGGAAACATTTTATTCTTTCTCTTACAAATGTCTCAGAGTGAGTTTCTGAGACCTTAAGTGCCACTTAATGAGAAAGGGGTGGACAATCTGGGGAACCTGAAGCTATTCTCCTCTGTGGATCTCTGTACTTCTGCTTTGTAGCCAAGGGGAATCCTACCACCATTCAAAACTCTGCAACATCCACAACAGATGTCAATTAGATGCTCTCTCCCCAAGAAAACCCTACGGCTGATGGTGGGGAAGATGAGGCTTTTTAACATGAAACTTTTCAGTGGTTTCACTGAACTACACCTTCCAGAACAGAAATGGGAAATGTTTATTTTATGTCATTTTATTTTATTTTATTTTCAAACTTAGGTCTGCTGCCTCAAAATTATTGTAAGTCTAATCAATTTGTTTCTCCCCCTTCTTTCCCATCCACTTCCTTAGAAACCGGAAAAATGCACTGCCAATGAAACAAGAGTATGAAACTGACCAGCCTGAGGAGACAGAAATGAAGCAAGGTTTTGTGCTCTTAGCGGACGATCCTGCTCCAGATCCTGCTCCAGAATGTTCACCTCCACAAGCACAAAACGCAGGACAGGTGACCATCCAGTGGAAGGACGGCCATGTGACAAACCTGTATGAGGACAAGCGTGAAGAAGAAGCATAACGGCTGAGAGAACTGTTTCAATTCCGTACGGAAACCTGGCAGGCTTACAGAACCGTCTGCATGTTTTGAAATCGGCTTTCCAAGAAATGTTTACTGACCGGAAGCAAAAAGAAAAAGAAAGGGGCAAAAGGGCCCTGCCTCCCTACAGGATCCCATCACGGTGCGCTTATAATGGGAGTACAACGCAGAATAACACAATGCGGAATGCAACCCTTCTCTCTATTCACACAAAGTATGTTGTCGCAGGGCTGAAATATGGCACCGGCTTCTGCCACAACCCTCGGAGCTTAGAAACCGTCTGGGACAGAATTAATGGATGTGCCCTTAAAACATGGACCTGCAATGGGCTTCCCTTCAGGCGGAACTGGGCAACCGTTGACCCTCCGAGGATCGCCCCCACCTCTGCGGCATTCAAAATTCCCCAACATGTAAAAATAATCATAAGTATTTGGGGGCCTGTTGGTACAGTTGGAGCCCTTCAGGGTCCACACGGGCCCCCAAGCTACCTCCAGCCCACCCCTACTTGCGCGCGAGGAGGGCCGACCTGTAATCCTCCAGATATTTGAGAACAACTCCGGTTATTAACGAGCTCAGATAATCCGTGGTGAGAAGGGGGGAATTGCAGCCCCACAGCATCTGGAGGGCCACAAGTCGCTGATCCTTGCCCTGAAGATGCCTGGGGCTTGTTCTCTGGAGAAATCACAAGACTATTCTTTGTTAAAGAAATTGGCCTACCTCCACAGAACTACAGTTCCCAGGATTCCCCACTGCGGGGAATTCTGCTAAAAAGCCCAGGTATTAAAATAAAAGCCCAGCCTGTATTCCAATAAGACTAGTCGGTGTTCAACCCAATTTTTCCGTCTGTTCAATCATCTCATAACACACACAGGGGGCTGCGGAAAAGCCTTTTTCTGATATATTTGCTACTTTGCTTGAAACCCCTCGTGGATGCCCGGCTTACCTTTTTTCAGAGCGTTTCACCGAATCGCCAAAGGCCAATGAGATGCCTTCGAAACCCCTTTGCAGCACAGATGGGTTGCTTTCCCCTGAGAGACAGGTCTTCTCTTTCGAGAGGGAGAGCAAACCCCAGATCTTCCCTCCCAGCCGCCGGCCCTTCCTTCCCCGATATCAGAGTTCTGACGCTGGGAGAAGTGAAACTGGAGGGTCTGGAGGCGTGGTCTTGACCAGAGATGGCCGCCTCGCCCCTCCAGCCGCTGCCCACCAAACCGACAAACACTTGTTGGGGTGTTAGACGAACCGGGATGACCCGCCACGCTGGCGCTTTGTGCCCATCTCTCGTGTTGACGGGTCGGGGGGTGGCTTTGGATGCAAAAGTGGTCCGGTTGCCAACCCCCGAGATGGGGTGAAATGACATCAGATTTGGACTTTCTGTGCCTTAGAAGAGAAAGGAAAATACGGCTCTTTCCTCACATCTCCAAGAGTGCTTTCATAGGTGGAAGACTCTTAGTAGGACCCATCTATCCGCAGATTCAGTATCCACTTCTTAGCTTATCTGCTGCCTGAAAATACTAAATAAAACCTATTGGCTTGGAACCAATCCCCTGCAGATATCGCAGTCCTATTGTATTAAAAAAGAAGAGCAGTAGTGATATGACAAAACTGGATGCCACCATTTGTACACCCCAGTTCTTTTCCCCAGCACCACAACGGGTTGCTTGAAGAAATAAAGGGGGTGGAATTAAATGTCTCTTTGAAGCCAAATGAGAACAAAGTCCCGGATATATTTATCAACCGAGGTAGGACATTTACAACATAAAGGAAACCGCTCCAAATAAAATGTCTCTAAAACCCTAAAATGTACGTGCAAATACATGAGATCTCAAATGCCAAGGCATAAAATCAGTATGTAGATTCACCCTCTTGCACAAGCATCCTGAAATTCCAGTATCTTAACCAAGGTGCCAAGGGCCTCGCCATCCTCCATGGAAACAGTAATGACTGCCTCTCCAGCTCTCCCGGACTCAAATCCTGAATCACAGCCCCTTCCTAAGAGTTCTCTATCCATTGGGCTGAACTGAATACTTCATAGGGGTTACACAAGCTTATGCTGGAAGAAACTGACAATATTTTCCTGTTGAGGGGGCACTGCTTCCAGATACGGCATCAGTGTCTCATCTAGCAAGGCCTTGACTTCCAGCAAAGCTGCTCTGTATGCGCAGCTGAGTTGACTGGGGAAAGTTGATCTTTTTTTATCTGTGTATCAGATAAACTCGGAATCCTAATTTGTACACGTGGTTCTGAGTACAAAGCTAGGCATAGTAGGTTATCCCAGTCACTTGATACAATTGTTAGCTTACGCATATGGTGTGAGTTATTCCAAGATGCTAAGGCTAAACAAAACAACCCTTCAACAGAAATGGAAAATCGTTCTGGTGCCAACAAGAAGAAGGGAAGAGAAGATCCCATAACTTGGCTTTCCCAAAGTTTCCTTTATTAAAATATTTTCCATAACAATTGAGCAAAGTTCCAACGCGGCATCTAAAGGTCATGTCTTCAGCAAAACATCAGACAAACGTTAAAGCCATTTCTTTCCCCAGTTCACTTGGCATCTCTCTAACCCTGCCTGCAAAGGGAAATAAATCAGTGGTTTTTATTCAAAATGAAAGTGCTGAACTGATGCTGCTGTTTAAAAAAAAAAAACCGAAAACACACTTTAATTTCTTGCTTGCGCTATAAAGGCTTTATGTTATAGTATTATAATGCTATAAAATAACTGGGACTTTTTTGCATGTAGAAGCTACACACTTTAACATGGTGACCCCCCAACCAGGGGGTTTCCAGATGTTCTCGGACTAAAACTTCCCAGAAGCCTTCACCGCCAGCTGTGCTGGCCGAGATTTCTGGGAGTCGTAGTCCTCCAACCCGAGGTTGGGAACGATTGTTGTTTTTTAAACATCATCGGGTGAAGGATAAGAAAGAAGAAATGCTAACTAATCGACAAGAAAGCTACCCTCTGTTTCATTGACCTGGGCAACTCAAGACATTTTGCTGCTTGAAGGAGAGAAAAGGATAAGAAGTACCCGGTTACTCTGGCATCCAGAGCAAAATCCTCCAAAGCTAATAAATAGCTAACAATCCGATTCCTTTTCATTCAAAGAGTCCTCCCATATCTGCCCCACAAGGATTTTCCTCCTCATCATCACTTTTTAAAAACCATCTAGACTAATACAAACTCCTACAGAATTTGGAAGCTTGCGTATTTCATGGATGTGTAGTTGATCCTAAGAAGGGTATTGCCCACCTCTGGGCTTTGGATTGTGTTTTCCCTTCCACGACACCCCAGGCACCCCATCGCAGCTGCCTGAGGAGGCAGTCACACCCTGCCTAATGGTAGGGCCGGCCCTTGTTGGGCCAAAGAGGGAAACGTGCACGCGGCATTCTTCCACTAGAGGGCTCCGTGTTCCTTCAGTCCATTCTATGGCCTTTCCGTACCGGAAAGTGGTATCTGTAAAAGGAAGGTAAAGGTTCCCCTTGACGTTTAGTCCAATCGTGTCCGACTCTAGGGTGCGGTGCTCATCCCCGTTTCCAAGCCATAGAGCCAGCGTTTTGTCCGAAGACAATCTTCTGTGGTCACCTGGCCAGCGCAACTCTTTCCATACCGGAAAGTGGCATCTGTAAAGGGAAGGTAAAGGTTCCCCTTGACATTTAGTCCAATTGTATCCAACTCTAGGGCGTGGTGCTCATCCCCGTCTTCAAGCCGTAGAGCCAGCGTTTGTCTGTAGAGTTTCCGTGGTCACCTGGCCAGTGCAACTAGACACGGAACGCCGTGACCTTCCCACTGAGGTGGTCCCTATTTATCTACTCACATTTTTACATGCTCTCAAACTGCGGGGTTGGCAGGAGCTGGGACAAGCGACAGGAGCTCCCTCCGTCGCGTGGATTCGATCTTACGACTGCTGGTCTTCTGACCTTGCAGCCCAGAGGCTTCTGCGGTTTAACCCGCAGCGCCACCACATCCCATGTAAAGGGAAGAAGGCATCATAAAACCCAAAGCAACACAAACTTTTTAGTTCCATCGGTGGGCATCATGTGTTCATGCCCACACTCCCTGGCACATCGGTTTACCCGCCTCGTACCTCCCATCTGTTACCTCTCCTTGGGAAAACAGCTCCCATCCCACCAAATTATCTTTTTTCTTTTTTAAAAAAAAACCCTGCAGAAATCTTAGACAGAGCTTGGAAAGCTATGCAAAACGTCTGCAAATGTTTCGCAATTTATCCTGATTGTAAAATACATCACGGTTTATGGTGCTTTTAAATGGCAGAATATGTTTCTTCTAATGGGGGAAGCAGAGTGAAAAAGCCCTACCTAGCTGTATATTTGGGCCACCATCCAAAAGACCTAATCAGCACCAGCTATGGCTGAATCACTTTTTAGTTCCATCGGCAGGCATCATGTGTTCATGCCCTCACGCCCTGGCACATTGGTTTACCCGCCTTGTAGCTCCCATCTCTTACCTCTCATTCCTTGGGAAAACAGCTCCCACCCCACCAAATTATCTTTTCTTTTTTTTTAAAACACCTGCAGAAATCTTAGAGCTTGGAAAGCTATGCAGCACTGGCTTCTTTTAAATGGCAGAATATGTTCCTCCTAATGGGGGAAGCACAATGAAAAAGCCCTACCTAGCTGTATGCGGCTAGATATTTGGGGCACCATCCAGACCTAATCAGCACCAGCTATGGCTGAATCTGTAAGCTGTTTCATTTGTGGCTTGTGCTAGCTGTTTAACTGTCACAGAACTACTTGATAGGTTGATGGGAAATGACCACCACCCCCTGTTCACATTCACAAGAATTCTCCATAGCCAGGCTCCTGGTAATAATTAATAATTGTGTGCCATCAAGTTAATTCTGATGGGTTGATGGGAAATGACCACTACCCCCTGTTCACATTCACAAGAATTCTTCATAGCCAGGTCTCAGGCTCCTGGTAATAATTAATAATTGCGTGCCATCAAGTTAATTCTGGCTTATGATGATCCAGGTAGAGAAGAGTCGGAAGTGGTTGACCCCCTCCCTTCTTCGGGGGGGGTGCCCTGGGTCTGTGCAGCTGGCCCGAGCCCCCTTCTTCAGGGGGTGCCCTGGGTCTGTGCAGCTGGCCCAAGGCTACCCGGGCCAGCTCTTTTCCCTAAGAGGCCCAGTGGGGGAATCTAACTCCCTACCACTGGCTCTGCAACCAGATACGTAAATCACTGAACTATCGAGCCAGCTCCCTGCGTTTTGCTCTTGGACAGAAAGTGGGGTGGTGGGGAATCCCTCTTTTCCTCTCTGTCATAATGAGATTTCTCTGCATTAAATTCCCCACCCTCACCCCAAGAAATCTCATGGGATTTCTCAGAATTTTCTACTCAGTTATTTTTTCTTTCTGAAAGAAATGGCAAAGAATTGCTAGGATTCCTGCACAGAAAGTCATTTTTTTTCCTGTGCATGATTCACCAGAAAAAAATAAATAAATACAAAGGCAACGCCAGGCTGTGTGGGATGATTAGAATTTCCGGGTACTAATGGCATCCTTGCTGTGCAAAATTCAACACGAATGGCATTAAACTGTGCCAACTTTAGCAGTTTCTTTCACAGAGGAAGCAAACAAAAAAAAAAGGGAGTCGTGAGGAAAAACAAGAGCGGGGGCTCATTTTTGCTGGAAACTAGGAAGCGAAACCAGGCTGGGTGTGTGTGTGTGTGTGTGCACGTGCATGATTGACACCAGTCTGCTGTAGATTCACAACAGCAGCAGAAAGAAATCACACACTTCCAGGGAGAGTCTGTCCCATTGCGTTGACAATTTCAGGGCTTCTTTTCGAGTAAACGTGGATGGGAGACGACGGGGGGGGGGGGGGAGAGGTCAGAGAAGCACCTTCTGGTCTTGGTCCTGCCCCGTACAGGAGCCTGTTGACAAGGACATGATGCTGTGTGATGATCACTGTGGAACTGTAATCGTCCCCCTTGAACTTCTGCCCTTTCCAAAACGAGGGGGAGGAAGCTCCCGGTTTTTGGTCTGACATCTTTTGGTCTGAACTCTATCTGGCTGCTCCATGTCCATATCCAAACCTTCCTGTACCCAAGGAGACATTTGCCAAGGTCCTGCACAACAGCTGAGCATATGAGGGGTGTGTGGGGACCGTGACGTGTGTCCCACAAAGAACGACAGCTGTGTGGGGTTTTGCCTCACTGGGACAACATACAGACGTTGTTTAACCACAGGAACAAAATGGTGGACATACCCCAACCAGGGAAGGTACAAGCAAACGGGCAGTTGGGTGGTTTAGACCTAGAACATCCCCGGATCCTCCCCTTTCCTGCCTGGTTTGTCCAGAGAGTTTCTCTCAGCACGGTTTCTCCGGAGCCCATGGAGTTTCGTTGCAGTCCACGGTGTTTCTCTCAGAACGCCCGCCGGTGGCAGCCTCTTTCCCCCTTAAAAGATCTTAAAGCCCTTCAGCAAAGTCAGCGTTGGCGCTTTCCTCTTACTCTGAGCCCGTGAAGATTTCACGGTGACCACCTTGGCTTGGGCTATGGGAGGGATTTCTTTGTAGTTCACGGTGGCCAGGGTGTTATAGGTGCAGCCGTGCTTGGAGGCGACCGTGGCCGGAGGGACAAGATGGAGGGAGGGCTTCTCCTCAAGGATGAACAAGGGCCGGACCACCGTGTGCCTCTCCATCTCTCGCCTCACCTCCCGCACCACCTCATGGAAAATGTGCTGCACCGATTCAAAGTCCAGGCAAGCTGAAACTTCATAGAACAAGAAGCCATACTTGGTGGCGAGAGACAGCCCCTCAGCTTTGGTGACCTGCCTGTCAAAGAAAGCCAGAAACAGGAGTTACTCCGGTGTTGGTTTAAAATTTTATTCGCCCTCCTGTTTAACAAACAGTGCTCAAAACCAATGGACTCGGGAAATTTGCTGCCTGAAGCAAAACCCTGAATAGTGTCAACCCCAGCATAGAAACTCCCAGGGGAAGAGGAACGCCAGGAGACAGGTTAAGGACTGGCAGAATATTCTAGAAGACAAGGGACTTCAAGGATAAACCCCCTCAGATCTGGTGAAGGAGGCAGAAGAGAGAGCACCTGGATGGGTGATAGGAAATAAGGCAGAAGGGCAAGAAGAAAGTCTGAGGAAAACTCTTGCACACTCCAGACCGCAGAGTCAAAAGAGAGCCTACTTACTTAGCTCTAGCTTGGGTCTGAACACAAAATGGCAGCCCATTATACGGCCCCGTTGAGGCTGGAAATATTTGGCTATTTTTCAGGATTAGACAGGAATCAACAAAATCTTGGGAGTTAAGCCACTTTGGTAACTCTGTTTAAAATGCTCTTTTATACGCCTACGCCGCCTCACCCTTTGCGCACCACTCCAATAGAGCACACGCCCCATTTGCAAGGCCATGTCAAGATGGGAATGGCTCATTTTAGCCTTGGGCATTCTAGAACCTGAGAGGCCTGCCTTGGGCGGTCTAGAACCCGAGAGGTCTGCTTTGGGTCAACAAGGCCTACACAAGAGAAATCTTTGGGGGAGGCAGTGGAGACCACAAGGTAGAGGGGTGAGGTGTTCCACTTCACACACTTTGAATTTCATTTGCCAACCAGTTCCTTGGCTGCAGTCAGTGACTGAGGCTGGGATCCTGTACGGGCAATCTTTTTGTGCAACAGCCCCCTTGCGCCGGTGGTATGACCTTTAAGAAGCTTGCCTATGGAGAGTACCCAGTGCCTCCTCACGCAAGTGGAAGTCCAGTCGGGTCAAATGCAGTCTCTGCCAGGAAATCTAGCCAACTTGGGTCCGTGGAACATCGTGCTCCACTGCTAGACCACAGGATTCCACCCTTCATTACCTGTATTGTTCCATGTCCAACTTGTTCCCCACCAGGAGAACCGGTGATTCGTGCTGTGCATTCTTCAGATGGAGGGCAATGATATCCAGGTATGGCTGGCATCCCTCAAAGCTTTTCCGGTTATCAATACTGTAGACCACAATGAATGCATGGGCCCAATCCAGATACCGCTCGCAGCTGACCGGTGCATCCTAGCAGAAAACCGCAACAGTTAACAGCCTCTCACCCTCTAGTAGCGAAGACCCTTGCCACACCCTGATTGGAATACATACACCAACTATATATGCTGCATGGAGAAGGATATTCTTTTGATTGTCCTTTGCATCTACAACTTAGCCCCACAGATCGAGGGATTCAAGCAATTTTGGTCAAAGAAATGCAACACCATGTAAGGAGTGATCTGAAACTGTGGGTTAAGAGTGACATACAGACTGATACTCTTAGGCTCCCTTCCTTCTTTTCTGGGTCTGTTCCTGATTCATCTTCCTCCTCCAGCAAACCAGAACATTATACTGTATATGTAAGCCATTAATCCAGCTGCAGGAGTTCCTCTATCTAAGTTTAGATCATGTATCCTCCTGCACTATCTCTAAATGACTGTTCCAAACGAATAGCTTTTCCTCTGTCCCCTCTTTCTCCTCTTTAGTAGCTTTAAGATTCTTCTAGAATAGTCAGAGGTTTTCCACTAGGCTACTCCATTCTGGAGGATTAAATCCCAAAATAATCCTAATAATTTTTTTTTTTTTTTTTGCTACAGTCTGTAAGTTTCACTAGGGGAAACATGAGCTCAAGAGTTAGGACACAAGGCAAAACAATTATCTGTCTCTTTAATCTGCCCAAATGCCGTGTTTATTTTTCCATGGCCACAGAGCAGTCAGCAAAACAGCAACACACACAAAAGCGAATCCTTCGAGGTTGCTGAAACAACAGAGTGAGTCAGGTCTTCAGGAACTGAGTCCTGCCCGTTCTCAGAGCAACATAAAAAGAACACTGGGACGGATTCTGTTACAGAAAAGCTCCAGATTAGATGCTTATCGGCCTTTCCTCCTGAGCCTGGTGCTTCAACCCTCTGTTGCTTTGCTCGCTTTTGCTTCCGTTGCTCCAAACGCCCGAGGGAGACCCACAGCAATAGGACCCCTGCAGCTGGCCGTGCTTTCAAAAAGGCTAGGGTGCGATTCGGTCGGGGACATGAAGAGTCCTGCCTTGGGCCGAGGAACTTGCGAAAACCACGCACGGGTCAGTGTGTTCCGTTCTTCTAGGAAGAAAGGCGTTCAAGGCCAACCCTGGCATTGATTTCTTTAATCTCTAGTTCAGCTTTCATTCCATTTCACTTCTTTATGAAAAGAAGGCCTGTTTCAGGGACTAGAGACATCGGACCATCAGTAACACTAGTTTCTGTTGGAGTTTTATCTCCAGGTGTGCATGCCGTCCATAGTTTGAGTGACTGGGAGGGATTTTTCTGGGCTTGGATAATTTTCTAACTATCTGGCACCAATCAACTGTTCCTTCCGGTTTTTTGACATTCAAAGAGAGTCACTGGTTGGATAATTTTCTGTCTGGCACCAATCAACTGTTCCTTCCGTTTTTTTGACATTCAAAGAGAGTCACTGGTTGGTGGCAGTTGTTTGTTGCTGTTGATCTGTTCAGTCAGTTGCTAGTATATGTGCAGTAAACACGAATTTGTAATTTCTAGCAACTGTAAGTAAAGAAACGCCTCTGAGTGACTTATTGGGACTTTAAGTCCCAGTTCTTTTGAGTGCTAGTCCATCATCTACACCGCACTGGCTCTCATTAATGTTTATGCTTTCACCATAGCGATTGATGTTCATGTTATACTATATTATCCAGTTAAGTCCCAGCTCTTTCGAGTGCTAGTCCATCTACTACACCACAATGACTCTCATTAATGTTTATGCTTTCACTGTAGTGATTGATGTTCATGTTATGTTATTCAACCTCACTTCTCATTGTCCCGCTTCTCAAATAGATAGGTTATAGCAATACAATATGGGGATTGGTGTCAACATGAGTGCACTGTGCTGAAAGCAAACTCCTCTTTGGATTCTGGCTTTGAGGTCCAGAGATTTTAATTCCAAGGTCCATCATTCATGGTTTTTCCTTTCTGAAAGATCTTTCTGTTTTGTTTATTACTGGAAAATATTTGATCCTTACCTAATTTAATTTTAGGGCTCCAACTAAAGAGTCTTCTGAAGAAGAATACGATTCAAGAGTAGAAGAAGAGAGTTGGACTCGACAAGCAGATGCAGCAAACAATTAAATAATGTCAGATTGTTCTGCAGAAAATGCACTTAAATGTTTTTATTTTGAGAATACACTTGACTTTGCCACCTATTAATAACATTGGATCTCTCTTGAATAGAATACATGATCAAGAAATGGCAGCGTTAATGGAAAACAGATCATGTATTTTTTTGTAACATCACATTGATTTGTTCAGTGGACTTGGATTTCAGCGACATAATATTCAGAAATGAATTGTATATTACACTTCGTTCAGTTTTGAAAAACAAAGTTACTTTTTTTACTGCTGAGATTAAGCAGGGCGGAGGTCTTTGCATAAACACTTCCTCTTCTGCAAGATTCACCTTTCCCCCTTTGACTGTCTGGCTGGTTTTTCCTTTCTGAAACATCTTTCTCTTTTATTTGTTACTGGAAAATATTTGATTCTTACCTAATTTAATTTTAGGGCTCCAACTAAAGAGTCTTCCGAAGAAGAATACAGTGGTGTCTCGCTTTACGATTGCGCCATTTAACGATGAAACCGCATTACGATGAACTTTTGCAATTGCTTTTACGATCGCAAAACGATGTTTCCTATGGAGGAATTTCGCTTTGCGATGATCGGTTCCCTGCTTCGGGAACCGATTCTTCGCAAAACGACAATTTTCCAACAGCTGATCGGCTGTTTCAAAATGGCCCCCCGCTGTTTTCTGGGACGGATTCCTCGCTGCACAGGCATCGAAAATGACCACCCTATGGAGGATCTTCGCTGGACGGTGAGTTTACAGCTCTTTAGAACACATTAAATGGGTTTTATTGCATTTCAATGGGTTTCTTCTTTTCACATTACGACATTTTCGTTCTACAGCGGTTTCTCTGGAACGAATTAACGTCATAATACGAGGCACCACTGTACGATTCAGGAGCTTGCCAAGACTTAGGTTTACATTTCAAGGGGATGTTTTCTGTGCTATACACCGGTTGGGGGGAAGATCTAGGTTCTCCAGGTGTTTTTGGGCTTAAGTCCCAGCATTAAGAAGCCTGGCCAATCGGAGATGATGACAGGAGTTGTGGGGTCCCAAGTATCTGGAGGGCTAAAGATCCCCTCCTCTCTCCCCTCCATGACAACGAGGCCTACCTGGCGAAGCTTTTTTAATGGCCCTTCTAAAGACCACAGCATCTCTGACAAGCCATTCAATGCGCCAGTCTAACTGGTACCCAAAGGGCTCTCCTCCGTTACCTGGTCAGCCGTATCCATCACCTTCAGCAGAACCGGTTGCTGGTCTACCACCTCTTCCGAAGCATACGTATCTTCTGCAAGACAAAGGCTGTTCAAGTAGGCAAAAGACGGCTTGGGAAACGGGCCCGCTTCTCCTCTCCCTGAACCTGAACCTCTGCCTTTTGGGGAACATGTCAGTCACGAGGAACACTCTCCCAGGTCAGAAGGGAGTCTAGCGTACGGCCTTCTATCTGGCTGCCTGGGGACAAGGATCGCAGATCAAGGGACAACTCAGTTGAAACCTGATGCCCTGGCAATGCCTTCGTCTCCATTGTCTCCATGGAAGGCACCTGGAAGCTCAAAGCGAGTCCCAGCAGATCATGCCCAGCCCTGCCTTGTACCTGGGGGCAGGTGTTTCACTGACCTTATTCTACTGCATCTATTTTTTGTTGTTGTATGCTCTCAAGTCGCTTTCGACTCATGGTGACCGTACGAACGAGCCATCTCCAAACTCTCCTGCCCTCAGCCGCCCTGCTCAGCTCTTGTAGACTCGAGCCTGTGTTTTCCTTTAGGGAACCAGACCAGTTGGCCTTCCTCTTTGCCTGCTGCCTTCCATCTTGCCCAGCGTTATTGTCTTTTCCACAGAACCCTGCCTTTTCAAGACGTGCTCAAGGTAGGACAGCCTCAGTTTCAACATTTTTGCCTGTAGAGAGAGTCTGGGCTTAATTTGATCTAGGACCCACTGGTTTGTCTTTCTGGCAGTCCCAGGGTATCTACAAAGCTCTCCTCCAGCACCACATTTCAAATCAACCATCGCCCCCCCTTCAGGTTTCTTAACAGTCCAGCTTCCCGATACTTCAAGCTTAAAGTGGCCTCATCACCGTGCAGTGCAAAACTACCAACTGTTTGCCTGCTGTTGTAAGTTAAGACATCACTGGATGTGACAAATAAACTAAACCAGAGAGGGCCATAGGCAGATAAATGCATAGGCTGAGACATCTTGTTTCCTGTTGTCTTTTCTAAGTATACAGTGCTGATATACAGACTGCTTTCTACACTTAGACTTCATTTATTCTTTCTTCTGTTGAGTCAGAGAAACTTGTTCTCCTTCATTAGAGAGAGGAACTGGGTCTTATTTTCCACCATGACTGCTTGCATACACTCCTGCACCAAAGCCATCATCAAGACATCAATCTTATCCTGTTCCCCAGCCTAAGTGAAATATTCTGACCCTTATTGGAGAGACAGGAAGGCTGGACTCTGAGCACAGGTTTGCCTCTTAGGGAGAAAGTGGTTAGAAGTGTTCCCTGCATGTTTCTTTATACTGATCTTTTGGTCCAGAAATCTTGTTGGTATCTATTGTGCAGCAGAAACCAGGGGTCATGTTGCCTAACTGGTCATGCACTTGAAGGGGTCAAATTAATACATATAATATGTACAGTGGTGCCTCGCATTACGATGTTAATTCATACCAGTGAAATGACTGTAGAACGAAAACATCGTAAAGCGAAATTAAAAAGCCCATAGAAACGCATTAAAACCTGTTTAATGCGTTCCAATGGGCTTAAAACTCACAGTCCAGCGAAGATCCTCCATAGGGCGGCCATTTTGGCTGCCTGTCTTGCGAGGAATCCATCCCTAAACACAGCGGGGAGCCATTTTATTTACCCGGTGGCCATTCTGAAAGCGCCAATCAGCTGTTGGAAAATCGTCGTTTTGCGAAGAATCGGTTCCCGAAGCA